CTTTGATCGATAAAAATGTAAAATTCCCTGGCTACCTGAAAAGATACCTTTCATCTCTGGGTTCACTGTGGAATTACCTTGAACACAAAAAAGCAGATTTCAAACCAAAACTGGATGTACCTCAACTGAAAGACTGCCCTACACTGCTGCAGCCTTCAAGCTCTCATTGACAGCATCAGCTTCCTCTGTGCTCTGCTCAGTACTCCACCAGTTTCTCGTATTAGTAGTTAACAGGGATAGGGATCAAAATCTATTAGGACAACCACTTTATAATAATAAATTATTACATTAAAGCACATTACATTGAAATAACTTTGTAGTACAGAAATTAGGCAAAAAATGTGTTGATTGATCTAGCTTACAAGTTCTACACATTTTAACAATACTTCAAGGGCATGCAACTTAGTAAAGGTGCCAAAAATAAAGGTACACTAAAAATAACATGGACAGGCAAGAAGCAGTGGACATATCACAGGCTTGCTTCTCAAAACACAGATGCACGCTGTTCAAGCAGCAGCCACAGATCACATCGCTTTAACTGAGGTAATCTTTTTTAATTCTTTGCCTTGAAGGGCAATTGAACACAGTGGGAGGAGAGACAGAAACCACGCCAACTCGTCATACTGCCAAAAGCACAGGTTTTTCCCTTAAGTGCAATATGCAGAGTTCCCACTGCAGGGATGCAAGGCCTCCACTCTGGTTTGAAAGGGGCTCTGGCTGGCAGCAGCTCCCCTGTGCTGTCACCAGCTTCATCTCCAGACTTCCATAATTCACATCAACATTTACGTGCCACAGATCAGGCCAGATCCCATTGCTGTACATTCAGGTAAATTTATAATCAAGCTCAAGAGGAAAGAAAGTCAACGGCAGCAGGAAAATATATGTGTTGATACAGACAGACAGCACTTCTTCAGCTCAACCGCACAACAAAATAATACAGGAATTCAAAAGCATCTATTGCTTTGCACCTATTGTATGGCAAATGTTCAAGGTGTCGGTCAAACACAGAGTAAATGGAACTGGCCTCATTTTTTACAGTGTTATCAGTAAATTACAAGGCCTACTTCTTCAAAATTTTAGATTAAGAAAAAAAGCAGACATTACTTCAAAGGGATCTGAATTTCATGCAGTAAGCCGCCTCTTGGAATTTTATACAACAAATTAACATGTGAGAATCTAAGCTGAATGAAAGTAGAAAATGAACATGCCAAGATGAGTTTCATTACGCACACCTGATGTGCAACACGTGAAATCAAATAGATTTGCCTATTGATGCAGCTGCCAACCAGAAACAAATGGCTACTTAGCTGTTTCTCCAATAAATAAAAAAGCCCAGCCTCAGAGAAGACTGCTCCACTTTCCTCAGTAACAAGGTCCTGTTCACTCTGCTGCTTCCTCACTCCAGGGAACCATTTTTATCTGACTACAAAAAGAGAAATCCATCATCCAGTAAGAGGAATTAGCCCACTTCATTTCCCTTTCCTGGGATACTGCCACAAATACTCGAATAGACAGAAAAGTAATGGGTTTGGTAGGAATGCAAGGGCGTGGTACCACTGAACCTGCTTCAAGTTGCAAAAAGCCAGGATTCCCCTGAAAGCAAGTTACTGCACACATTACATTAAATTTTAGGAAAGGAATGGCTGATATTTTGCCTTTAGAGACAGGTATGGCTCTTTTAGTCATTCCAAACATTAAGCTAAGATCACAAAATTTTTTTATTCTATCATGCTGACCAGCAGGGGAAATAACTTTAAAAGCTGAACTATATCTCAGGAAATGCATTAAAAAACCCCAAATCCCACTACTTGCCATATGCAGCTGATGATAAATATTAAGCAAAATAACTCAGTGTATAAAGTGTTATTCAAAACATTTCAATCTGACCTTAAATTCCCGTCTTCAACTAACGTTAAGGACACGTCTCAGAAATATTTTTGACAAAATGAGAAAGCCAAGCATTAGAGTTGGTTGAGAATTAAGGATTCTCAAACTTTTTGATCAAAATGTACTTGTTGTGCAAGTATAACCAGCTTTTCCAAATACACGTCATGTCTGCATTCTGCGGTGTGCCCTGAGAGCTTAATCCTTCAGCAATTAAAATGGGGCACGTGCCAAATCAAACAGCCCTCTTCTGACCTGTTTTGCTTGGGTTTTTTT